CAGGCTTTTTACATTGCTCTATTAGTAAATGTGGTGGTGTATAGATATCCTTAAATCGGCGCTGCTTGGCTTGTAATTTGGCGATTATAAGGCGTGGACGTTTAGGCATTCAGGTGTCGCTTATAAAGAGCGAGATGTGGGGCTTTAATTTGATCGCTGATGCTGGGGTGTTTTATCGGGAGGTGAAGCGTGCCGGGCGAGGTACAGCACCGCCTTTTGTTGTGTGCGGCGGAGCCGCAGGGGTTAAGGCGGTGGGGCTGGCCGGGCCGCCGCCTCCAGTGAATTCAAACCCGGCGAGTGACGGGGAGCGCGGGGGCCGGGCCGGGCGCTGCGGGCTTTGTTGGGGCCGGGAGCCATTTTGGGCTCGATGGCCCGGCGTGTGCCGGCCGGCGCGCCCTCAGCCCGGGCCGCGGCGGCCGGCGGAGCGCGGAGCTCGGCCCGGCTGGGTTCTGTCAGCCCCCCCTCTTTAAAAAGCGTTTCGAGAGGTACAGAGTGTGAATGTGCGGTGTGGTGATGGGCCTGCGTTTTGTTGTTAGTGCTGTAGTTTGACATCTGTGTTTGGGTATCTGCCATGATGCCTAATGCATCCAGTGTAAAATATCGGGTTTATTACTTGTGGTGTTCTCTGTTTGTTTGCTCTTGCATTGCTCTTTTAAAGGAATAATAATGTTTTATGAATGTGTGTTTTAATAAAATGTTGATTTAGCTTGGAGCTCTTTGCTCTTCAGCCTGTTTAAACCAGCAATTTACTTGATATGGTGAAACATCCTTTTGTGGATTATATATTCTTAGGAATTTGCGTTCTTTAACCAAAAACACTGGTTTTATTGGTTATTCTGAATAATAGAACGAAATAAAAATTGAAATTACAAGTAAAAAATGGGTTGCTCTCAGAAACTTATGGAGTTGCATGTTCCAGTTTCATTGTTATTGGTAGTTTGCCTAAATCTGTTTACATATGTGGCATCAAATGTGTTAAGTCATAGTGACTTAAACTTACTTGGCTTTAAAATGTGAGGCTAGTAAAGGTTCTATTTGAAGCACTGCTACCAATATCTAAGACTTTATTGTATACATTTTTTATCCCTTGTAACATAAAAAATAAGACATGCTGTCTTGGGAATTTTCTCATTGTTTAACAGATTTTGGTGAACATTTCTACTCTGCCAGGGTCCCTTTTGTGAAATGGCAATTTACCACTTCCTTTGTTACAAAGGGCTTCATGAGGAACTGCCTGGACAGTATGTTTGTAAAAGTCTGTGTGCCCCAAAAGCCATCAGTGAGGGTTTGTGTCTGTCCCTGTGAGGTGTTTGTAGTCGTGGTCAGTGTTTGGTGCTGCTCCCCCTGCCTTGTGATGCTTCTGTGCAAAAAGGCCACTTGTGGAGCATTTCATCATCTTTCCTGGAAGCCAGGAAGCTTGCTGCCATGGTGCTAGGATTTTATTTGAGGCTGGCTGATTGTAAAAGTGACTGTCAGATAAGCTTTTTTTTGAGCTAGTGGTGCAGCCTCATGTTACTCAGCAGCTTCAAAGTCCTTTGGAGACAGCCAAGGGCCTTGTGTGCAGGTGAATTCTGCTACACTGCTTACAGGAGTTCCTGAGCTCCCTTGTGTTCTGACAGAGCCACAATCTGTCTTCTCCCGCCCTTCTGCTGTGCTGAGTTATTGTAACACAGATTCAGTTTAATTGCAAGGGACAGATGATGCTTAGGATGACTGGTGTGTCTGCTGCCCAAAAAAAAGGCAAATAATCCAGCTGTCCCCTCTGCAGGAGCGTGGAAGTTGGTTTGTAAGCTGAGGCCCACGGAGCATCCGCTTGCATTCCAGCGGAGCTGCGTGCTTCCCTGAATTCGCTGTGGGCTGTCCTGTCAAAGTGTTCTTATTCCTTGGGGCTTTTTTACAACTACAGGCTTGGTTCTTGTACTTAGTATTATGTTTATGGGCTTCTACAAAAGGGAAAAAGGCTATTTTGGAGTTTGGGCCTGGTAATCCTGCAGCAAAGCTGAGACTAGAAGTCTGCATGAAACTGAGTTCAGACAGATCTGTGGTACCTAAAGCAGAAAGGTGTTGGGCCCCCAGCAGTGTTCAAGATAGAACTAAGTACAGTGCCTGCCTCTCAGGTTCTCTGCCAAGTTTTGTGATTTAAGATTTTCAACATATTGTATTAGCATGTCTCTTTCTGTTCCAGTTGTGTATGAAAGTTTCATAAGCAAGAAGAATGATAATACATGAAAGGTGGAGTGCTGTTAAACATGAGTGAACAAATTAGAGTGAGTCAATGTCCTCCGCCAACCCTGTGTCTGTTTTGTAATACAGATGTAGAATATTTCTAAATAAATTGGGTTGATCATTTGTTTTGAAGAGGTGAATAACTAAGATTAAGCTGTTGAACTAAAAGTCAGGTTTAAAAAAAATCCAGTTTCATAGTGAGTTCTAGATGCCCATTTTTGCAAATGGTGCTGGTCATCTGTGAAGATGACTTTCAAATTCTTTTTAAGGCGGTTAAGTCTGTTTTGTTGCTTTGAAAAAGTGAGTGGAGATTTCTCCTCCTGAGTAAGAATTAATTTTAGAGCATCAGACATGCAGTGAATCAAACCAAGCCCCTAAATCTTCCAAGAGTGATTTCTAAGTGTGGTGTTTAGATGGCAAACCCGATATCTTCACTGGAGAGCTGGGTGCTATGAAACCCAGCTATTAATAGACCTACGAGGCTTTGTGGTTAGCACTGCCTTTGTCAAGCACGTATTTTATCCATAATAGCTTAATGATACAATTATAAACCTTATCAAATAAGAAATATTATTTATGTTCTAGCATTTGATTTATTCAGAAGTTAAGTAAAGAGAGAACTGGTGGTGACAGGGAAAAGGACAGGGAAGAAGCTGAGCCAATATGTTGTTTTTCAAACTCGGCCGTTGCCCTGCCCATATGGGCAGTGCAGACAGGGAGGAGCTGGGGAACTACTCAAAGCTCACTGGCATAGCTGAGCTTCCCATGTGGGAAAATATTGCTGCAAGTCAGAAGGATTAGCTGCTGAGTTGCCAGTTAAAAAATAGGTTTTATGATGAAACGATGCGTGCTAAGTACACACATCAACTCCAGCAGAAACTGAACAAGTTTCTTCTACCTTGGGGGTTAAAAATCTTTATTGACATGAACCAATTCAAACAGACCAACCTTAATCATAGTTTTCAGCTTCAGCAGTCATATGTCTGAGAAACCTGTTTTGCTGTTTTTTAATACTAGTGCTCTCTGATGTTATCAGCATCCCTCATCTTGAAATTCACAATATTTCCATGTTCGTTCCTGGCGAGCCATTCCTCTCTGGTCCCCATTTCCTATGTGCTAAATTGAGCTCCTGTTTGTTGATAAAGCAAGGCTGCAGTTGTTACCTATTCCAACAGAAATTGCTGCCCATTCTAGCAAAAGAATGAGGCTGCTTTGCTAATACTTCCGCACTACTGATTCAAGCTTCCTGTAAACAAACAATAAATTTATATACAAGTTAGTGAAAACATTATGGCTCTGGGGCAAATGAAGTGAATGTAGAGGGTCACTTAATGGAAATGTGTTCTCTATAATAAAAAAAAAATAAATAGCAAGAGACTTTATTTTTCATTAACTTCACTTTCCATGGGAGGTGCTTGGATTTAGGAAGCTACGATGCTTAGGCCCAGAAGTTTTAATATTTTTAAGTCTTCAGTAGTAGTGGAAATACTCTCCTGCCTTACTGACCTCAGGATTTGGAGGCTGCAGGTAGACTAAGAGCATTTTAATGTTACGTGTGCAGATTTCTTTTGAGCTGCTTTTGCCTGTACCTGCTTTTTGTCCCCATTTCTTATGCATATGTAGCTATACTAAATGATAACTCTTATTTCAGCATAGGAAAGTGTGTCTCCAAAATGAGATGCATGTCGATTATGAAAATTAGCTGGGGATATTTTTATCCTGGTTCAGATATATCATCACAGATGTGTGGAAACAGGAGCCATAGATAATCTGCAAGTAGCCAGGATTCTGCCTTGCTAACCGTGCAAATCCAGAATAACCAAATCCCTATTTGTTAACTAAATAAGCTATCATCCAAGAATCTTTTCTACAAAATTAAAATTTTTTTTGGCTAATAAAACTGAGGAGGACTGAAGGTTTTTTTGCAAATACTTTGAAATTGAAAGTCATAGTACCACAAGTAGTGACCCGTGCAGCTCTTCAAGTTAGTTGATATGACAACATCAGTTTTTATTTTGTTTACTTTCTGATACCCCATGGAAAGTTTTACAAATGTTGCTTGGGTGGTTTTGATTTGGTAGCTTTGGCTTTGTTTTTTTTGGACGTGGATGGCACTCTGGAAAATGTGCCTAATTCTGCCCTATGAGTCACTTTGCAGTTGGCTCTTTTGCTAGGGTGTGTATTCAGTGGTTTTACTGACAGGAATAAATGATGTGAAATGAAGGATACTCCCTCGCTGCTTAGTGGATGGTATTCAAAAGTGCTAGAACAAAATGATTTGACTATATGTAAAAACTTTCTCAAATTTCATCTGCATTATTCTTAATTTGGTGCATAGAGCAGCCTGTGCTTTGCTCAGAGGGCACTCAAAGCAAAACACATTTTGAAGAGATCTCTGAAGCATGGCTGCATGGTTCTTTAGATTTTTATACTTAGCTTCTTTAGGGGATACCAGCATAACGTAGTTCCTGTGGAAGTGTTGTAATTTGGTTGTGATAAGAGTTTGGCTCATAACTGCCATGTTCCAGAGAACTTGGAAACAGCTGAAAGTAGGGTATCATAAAGAAGGTCACAGCCAGAAATACCCTGAGCTTCCTGTGGCAATGATAGGGGATACCTGTCAGCAATACCACTCCACTACTGAGAGCTCCATGTTTCTGGTAATAGCTCTTTTATTTCAATGCTCAATAACACAGGCTGAACAGTGCAAGGGCTCCTAGAGTGACTTTATGTAACTTTAAGTCATTGCATTACTTTATTTTCACCTTTTACAGTATGATTTGAAACTGTCAACATGGACTTTTCACGTCTACACACGTACACCCCTCCCCAATGTCTGCCAGAGAACACTGGCTATACATATGCACTCAGGTGAGAACCTTTTCTTCTTGTAGACAAACTGTCTGTTCTCTGCATGTTGCTAATCTGGAGAGTTGAGCTTTCATGGTAAGTAGCTGACTTCTTTGAAGAAGTGGGCTTTTTCTAGTCTGGTTTGAAAACAAGTGCTGTGTCCTAACTGGAGGAAAGAAAATGTTGAACTAACAGGACAGTGACTAAGATAATGACTCAGTGTTTATTAGTTGCTATGAATAACTTGTGTCCGCCTAGTTACAACTGCTGTTGGATTTCTATAAATATGTCCTCAAAATTCTTCGATGTTTTGTGTCTTGTTACTTCAGTGTGTGCTTTCTTTTGTGACTTGGGACCACTTTTACTTTCAAACACTGATTTTTGCACATTCATTGCTGCTAGTGTGGGACTTGGCTGGAAGTAAAATATTGATTACTTCTTTTAGCAAAGCTGCTTGTTGGGTGATTATAAAATCTGTGTTCTAATGAACTTGCTTTTCCTTGTATCTTTTTTTGTATCTTCTAATTATCTTGTTTTTTTCTTGTATCTTTGTTTTGCTTAAATCACTTCAGTTTTCTAGAAACGAACTCTAGTGTTTGGTAGTTTTTGTATTAGGTATTCAGAATAAGTGTTGTGATGCCTATTTTGAGTTTTTTACTATTAATGTAACAGATTGTTGCTGTTCTAATTTATTGAGCTTTTCCTGCTGTTGCAATATATACCTCCTTCAAAATATATCAGTGATCTGAGTTACTGGTTTAGCTAATTTTAAGTTCAAGAAATGATTGTTTGTTAGGATGCAATATGAGATTTGTTTTGTATTCCCTCTGTAGGTCATTACTGTGTGTTGTTATTAAAATCCATTATAGAGATAAGCTTGGCCACTTGCCAATAATACAGAAGTTGGAAAAACTGTAGCATTAAGAGATTACTGAATTAATTCTCTTCTTTTGTGTGCTCCAAAACTGTACACTTCCATTTTCTGTTGGGGATCATGGCTGGCTTTTTTTTTTTTTTAAGCTTTAGCCTAATGTCAGTAGTGTTGCAAAATGTGACGTGTTTTGTGTTGCATCAATTAAATTGCAGTTTTTCCTGAATTTTATGAAAAACTATTAGTAAAATGTTGGTTGTATACAAGTGGGTTTTCTAATTTCAAGAAAAGCATGCTGGGCAATGAAAGATAATTTACATGCCTTGTATCCAGCATGTATTACTGAGTGAATTTAGTTACCTTTGTGTTGCAAATGTACCTTAGAGATTGACTGATATATTGTAACTCCTGACAGGTTAAACTCCTGTGGTATTCTTATCCAAAATTCTCATCCAGTGAAACAGTGGGCAAGTACAAAGGAAGATGCAGAATGATAAATCCTGTGGGACATCTGGAGGATATTTTATTGTGACTTTGGTGGGGTTTATTTAGGGGACAACTGAGTGTTTGTCGCGCTGCATAAATGAGGACTGCTTTGCAAAACTGAGAAGTTGTGAAGGCGTTATTTGTCCTGAAACTTTCCAGCTTGCCATTTCACCATGTTAAACTATTAGGCATAGGTAATTAGAAATGGACAGAGCTGGGTAGGATGAAGTTTAATAACAGAATTAATGAAGGCCAGTACAGTTAAACTAGGTTGAAATTAATTTATTGTAATTCTTCCTTATGTGGAAAAGAAAGATTGGCAAGCTCTTTCTTTAAAATAGTGTGAAGCCCCAAATGTTAAAATAATGGGGGCAAACTACTTGCTACACTGACGTGCCACTGCTTGCAGGGTGTCAAGAGAGTAAACCACAGTCTTTTGTGCAGACTCTTGCTGTGCCTCTGCTTGCTCTGTATGTGCAGAATGACATCTATTATTGTAACTCTTCCTACTCTGGGTCAAACAATATTTGAAGACTGAGGAAGTTGCTAATCAGAAATATTTTCATGTTGAAATTTGTTCCTTCTTACCCCTCACCTGGGTTTGTTTTGCTTATATTCTAATATGCTTTATTCTGCCTTTGACAATTCAATCTTTACAGAATCTTTTCTTTAAAGAAATTGGCTTGGGATGTAGCCCTGCAGAAGTTTGATACCACAAAGCTATTAATAGAGTTGGCTATGATTTATTAATAGAACTTATATTAATACTCACTGGAATCACTGTGTGTTCATAGCTGTAGTGCTTCTACTTTGTGCTTCTACTCCTCCAGCCCAAATCAGAAAAACATTTAACTGATATACCTAAATAATCCTTATCCTCCTACAAATGCAAGTCAAACTTGTGAATACCACCCACCTGTCAACATACAATTTACACCCCACTCTTATGACTGATCTTTCTTTTTAGTCACCATCATCTTTTGAATTGTGTTGTCAGTTTGGGTGGCTTTAACACTTCTTCACAAATATGGGTTAAATCAATAAGAATTTGGTTTGATTTTCTGTGTCAGAGCATTCAACTGGGATGTAATTTTCTGCACAGTAATTGAATAAAATCCTTTGAGGTTTTTAAGTATGTTCTGGATCTGACTGAAGAAATAACTAAACAATTCAAGGTAGTGTCCTTGTTCACTTAATGTAAGTAATGCCCTCTGGTTAGAAAGCCTGTGAATGTTTTTGTATTGACTATATGTCTATCCATGTTAGAAGATGCCTGTTCAGTTGTAGATCTCTAGGTATATTGCATGTGCCTGTTATCCTGAGTAGTCAAGAACATCACTGCCCATTTCATTGCAAGGAGTATTTATAAATAAATGACACTTGAAGTCCTTCAGACAAGCTATAGGCATGCTAAAATGGGCAGACCTCATTCTCATTCCACTTACTTGATAAATAACCTGCTGAGGTCTAGGACATTCATAGTCTGTAGAAGCTCATGTGAAGAAGGTATCAAGAAGCTGGAAATGTAGGCCTAGATCCAGTCACCAGCTCTGCCATGGGAGCTGTTTGCTGGGGGAAGGAACCAGAGTCCTCACTGATTGCAGGGGTTATACAGGAGTGTAGCCAACTGCACCCCACCTTCAGGTGTTTCTTGGTTAGCTGTACATGGTGCATAGGAGGACATCAATGTGCAGGTTCATTTCTGGCCCTTGACAGGAAGGGCAGTGGTTTTTTATTTACTGTAGTCTTTTCTGTAGAAGAAAAAAGGCTGCATTCCCAAGCATGGGAAGTGAGATGGCAAGTTAGGAGACTTCTAGGTACTGTCCTGCTGCCAGAGGACAGATAATGTGAAGAGAATTACTACCCTGCATAAGTGAGAGACAAGCCCCTTTTGTTAAAAAGATTCCATTATGATTTGTTGGATTTTTTTAGATAGTAGAGCTCAAATTCAAACTATTTATTCAACGCACATTGATATAAATGTTCATTGAGATACTTGGTAACAGCAAGTGTTCATAAACAGAAACAAATTGAGGCTGGTCACAGCTGTCAGCTTGTTCTGCGTACATTGTGTTCTTGTGAATTGAGTATCTGTAAGAAACGTGGGGTGAAGATGAGGAAAAGCAAATGCATAGTGGCAAATGTAAATAGCAAAACTGAGTTCTGAAACAACTGTTTAGGGAGGGTCTCAATAGAAAACTGTTGTGGCTCTGACCCTTTCAGGATAACAGCAGGAGGAGCCACACTTAACCCATATTCTTTCTTCATATCTGTCAGAGTATGAGTCATTTATATTTAGTATTTTTGAAAGCTGTAAAATTTAAACTCTTTAGTCTACAGTTGGTAGAGTACAGAGAAAATACGTTATTTCTTCTCCCTCTTCCAGCCAAATGAAAGCAAGAAATAACAAGTAAAACACAAATGTACTTAGTATATATGCTGGGTTTGTTAAGTTGTGCTGAGGCCCTTTCCTGCCTTGCACAGGGTTGCACTGCACGTGCCAGCATTATCAGGGCAGACCAGTGAGATCCAGCACACAGAACCAAAGCCCTGCCATCAAATCTGTGCTGCTCTGGGCCATAGAAGCAGCTACTTTGGACAGACTCTGCTCTGATCTTCTGGGCTGAATGCCCAGCTGGTTTTGGAGCCATGAGATATTTTCCAGCAGTGTGTTGTCTGGGTTAGTTTTTTAGCCAACAGAAGTGCAGTTGACATGCTCTGACAGTCCCATCTTACATACTTTGTGTTGAGGAGCAATGAAGAAACTTATTTCAAAAGCAGCACCTTGTCAGAATTACATCATTACTGTAAGTGTAGCTTCAAGGCCTTCTGGTGTGAATTTAATTCTATGCTGAAGCAATACAATACCATATTATTGCTTTGTGATGTTCTGAGATCTTTAATAATGGTGAAAACTATTTCCATTAAGTCGTTTTTACACAAGTACATTTTATAGTAGCTGTTTGTATGTATTTTTAAAGGGAAGCTTCCATTTCAAATGCAGGTTGCACAGTAGAATCTACTCATTCAGATCTAATTTGCTTGTTTGTTTTTGTGTGGGGAGAAAGAGCTGCTGTCATAAACAATTCTTTGCTTATCTCTTTTAAAAAAACCAAACAAAGCCTCCAGGAGTACTGCAGTGCTGTTACATCTCTGTATATCCCTGTGGCCCAAGGAGGGACAGAGTCCTCATGAAAGCTGGCCCAGAGCACTTAGCATTTGGATGCTGTGGGTCACAGGGCTGAGCAGGTCTAGAGCCTGACCTGCTGTGCAGTGCCCTGTGTCAGCAGCCTCTGCTCACTTGCATAACTGAATGTTTCCTTTGGTTGTAAGTATGAGAATTCTGCTTCAGGCTGAACTTCTGCTTTGGTGAATGTCTTTCTTACAGACTCCTCAGCTTAATCTATTTGTGTTTGCCTTGTGTTGCTGCTTTGTCTTTGCTGTAAGTTTTCATGGAGGCTCTGAGAGAATCACGTGTCAAAATGTGGAGTTCCTGGGGTGACGACGTGAAGACTGTCTGTGTGTGAACTTGCCTCTGTGGAGAAAAACAAATTAAATTCTCTAAACATTTTTTGTTTATTTGGAGTTAAATATTTCTAATGGTTTGCATTAGATTAGGAAATATTTTTAAAGCACTTTTTTAAAAGCAAGTAATGGTTGTTGAACTGAAATAGCTGAAGTAGGGAAGTCTTTAAGTGTATCTTAGAGGGAGGAAGTTCCTACTTGTTGAGAAGTGGAAATTCAGGGTAATACGGCATATGGATCTTCAGTTCTCAAAATAAGGACTTGGCAAACAGAAAATCTACAAAAATAAACTTAGACTGAAAATTAATCTTTGCCTTGCAGCTTGGAGTGTGTAATTTTTAATTTGCTGCTAGGCATGGTGAAGAAACTGTGTCATGAATGGTTTCCACTCTCAAGTTGGTCCCAAAAGAATGAGTGCTTGCTCTGGCTAAACTTCATATGTGGTTTCCATGGTGGTTGTTTCTTTCTGTGATTTGCTTTCAGTTGTAGAACTCAAAATATGAACTGCTTAGGAGAACCTTGAATATCTACATACATCTAGATTATTTGGGTTGTTTGGTATATCTTGTGGGGATTGTACCGTAACCCCAAATAAACTGCATTTAGTGGAAACTTGGACTAGCTTGAAAAACATGTTTGTTACCAGATTGAATTCTCCCAGTAACTTTGCTGTTCTTATTTTACTGCAGTTCGAGTTATTCTTCATCTGCTTTGGATTTTGAGACTGAGAACAAAATAGATCCAGTGTTTGATTCACCCAGAATGTCACGGCGTAGTTTACGGTTGGCTGCTGGAGGATACAGTAAATCAGATGATGGACACAGTGATTCCCTTCATGACAGCTCTTATGCTGGAAGCATGTCCTTCAGGGATCAGTCTAAGTAAGCATTTTTAGTCATCACTAGTAAATCTTGAGTCTTACTGTTTGAACACAGTAATGCAAAAAGGTTACCTAGAGGTCTTATTTTTTGTTCTTGGTGTTTGCTGCCATACTCTGAAATTTATGTTCAATATGTGGTTTGCAATGACAATTTTTTACAAAAGTCTTTGTCAAATTATAGGTGCTTGAAGGCGAGGACTTCCTTTCAAACGTTGTTTGCTCTGCTTAGTCACATCAGTGTTGAAATGACTGTTAATTCATTTATTAATGAAGTGAGACAGTGGCAGAAGTGCATGTCTTTAGTGCTACGTCTTACTTGCCTTTCTTTCCTAGGGTGGTGAAGCAACGCAGAAGTATGAACAAGCAGTCTGGCAGTGGAAGACATGTGCCAAGGAAAAATCTGTCCAGCTCATCTATTTTTAGCCAGAGCAGTTTCAATAGCCATGCCAGTGATACATCAATGATATCCACTATATTGGATGAGTCTCTGATTCGGGAACAGACAGAAGTTGATCATTTCTGGGGTAGGCAATAATTGCTATTGCTTGTATCAAACTGTGCAAACTGTTTGGTTTGGTGTGCATAAATCTTTGCATCACCTGTTGTCCAGCCTATCCCCAAACGTGTGTGCATTTTCACTTCAGCTGTAGGGGTCTGCTTGCTAAGATGCCCACTGGAAGTTCATGGTCCAGTGTGTAAATTTGATTTAGTGGTATGGTTAACATCAAGACATTCACAGTCAAGTTAATATGCCAGCAAACATAAACACTTCTGTGATGCAATGCCATAATTATCTTCTGTCATTGCTTTCTTCAAAATGTACACTGAGTTCTGTATTGAAAGAATGGTAAAATAAACATAACTTCAAAAAGTCAAAAGTATTGTCTTACTTGTTTGTAGGCAGAAATGTGTTTCTTTTTAACATACCTTAATATGAAAGTTTCAAATTAGTGGCATTTCAGAATTACCCAAAAGGGCTTTTCTGTGTGGCTGGCTGGTTTGGCTATTTAACTGTACCAAAATGTATTTTCTTGGAACCTGTTCTCTTCAATGAAGATAAAATATGAGAGTTGTCTATATAAAGTATTGTCTATGTGAAGCATTGTGTACAACCAGATCAGCAATTTGTTCTATCTCCCAATTCAGACTCTTCTTTGTTTCCAGTCAGAATACTTGTGACCTTCCCAGAGTCCTAGTGCGAAGAATTGTGTCAATCTTGGTAGAACCCATTCTAAATTTTAGATAACCTGGCTCTTAAAACAGAATTTTAAATACAGTAGTATCAAAGTCGTTACCAAGCAGCAGAAACATTGTAAGCTTGTAATTAGCTGCTTTAACTTCTTGTGGGAGCTAAGTCAAGGTGCAGTTGGCATTCATGTTGCTTTGCCTGCCCCTTCTGTGGTGGGATGTTTTGCACAACTATTACCCTACTACAATAATGTCTGGCTAGATGTTTCTCTGATGGGCTGCAAAATACCTTAAATGCTAACCATAAAGAGACTTCCTTTGAACTCTTAAAATCAGTGGGACTTCTCACTTGAGTTTATGTCAGATACTGTAGTTCAGTTTCTTATATTTGGGACCAATTTCTTTTTTTTTTCGTTCACAGGCCTTGATGAAGAAGGTGACCCCAAAGGTAAGTACACTTTGCTTTTCCCTCCACATCGTTGCTGTGTGGCGGGCACGGTGCTGGCAGTGCTGCCATGGGTGCTGTGCTCTGTTTGCAGGCAGTGACACCACGCTGCTGCAGGGCAACGGGGGCATAGCAGCAGCAGAGCTGCAGCCCACGCTGAACGGCTACACGTGCAGTGACTGCAGCATGCTGTCAGAGAGGAAGGAGGTCCTCACTGCCTACTCACCTTCCCACGTGCCATCCTCCAGGATCTACACTAGGGACAGGAGCCAGAAACATGCAGCTAGTAAGTTACTTCCTCTTGTGTTTGATTTCTACAGTGTTATTTAAGCATCTGTCAGACCCTGATGAACTTGTCAATAACTGAATTCTAGAGGTCAGCTTTTATATGAAATACCTTTTTCTGTATCAGCTGAAGTTTTATGTACTTGTTTATGATTCTGGTATATGGTAATTTCCTGATTTTCAGTGTTGCTGTAGGAATCAAACAACTACAAAATTCAAATGCCCTAGTATCTTAAATTATAAAATTATTTGGCCAGCCAGCACTGATTGAAAGTCTCCTAATCTGACATCAGATCTGTGTGGCTCTGCCTGTGAAATACTTGGGTCATGGTTTCCAGATACAAACTTTCTGTGCTTTTTGGTTTACAATTTTTTATCCCTTATGTGATTTGAACTTTCAAGGTTGAGAAGAATTGTTACTTTGCACTGCTTGTGTTATCAAGGGAGTCTCTGAGACGGCTTTCTACTTCCTACTTCCTTTTTTCCTTCTCTTTCAACCTTGCAGCTTTTTATAGTGTTTTGAAAAGCTAAACCTCAACTACATGAAAAATCGAACTCCAAAAGGAAAAACTGATTCCAAATAGTCACTCTAGTGACTACCTTCCTAAAGCTTGAAAAACTGAGTCTGTATAAATGTCTTGGAAAGGCAGAATCTCAATCTCCATTCAGTGGATTGTTTTCCTCGTTGTCTTGCCCTTGTCTGCCTGCCTCCTGCACCTGGAGTTTCTTGATTACTGGTAGTCCTCAGTTGCCACAAAGGATTTGTTTCCTTAATGGCCTTGAATTAGAAAGAAGCCAATTGTGGAATTATGTAGGTTTGTTAAGTCTTGAATGAAGTTTGTTTTCAGTACAAGAAAAACAAATTAGTCTGTTTGAGCAATATGATATGACTTCAAATACTTAAGTATTTCCTTTTAGTTAGTGTGTAGCACAGGGTGGAATTCTTTTGACTTGAACAGTCAACTACTTGAAGTGGCACTGCATGAAAACTCTTTCTGTACTTCTGAATTTGTATTCACACAAGAGTTTTCCTCATCTTTGTACATTCCTTTGAACTTTAATCTAGGGGTTTGAGTCAAACTTTGGGGGTGTGTGGGTGGGGAAGAGCACACAGTCATGGCAGGTTTTTGGGATGTGGCTGAGTCTAGGACAGTGGCAGATTTTGGCTTTGTTCTGTGGCTCTGGAGGGGGCTGTGTCTCTAGCACTTCAGGCAGAGCTCTGTAGGAACTTCCTCTGATGTAACAGCAGGGAAGATGGTGAGCAGTCCTCGCTCCTTCAAATCCAGAATAACACTGTAGTGTCTCTTTGGAACTGTGAGCCCAAAATCAGGATCAGCAGTTCACGTCAGGGAGGAATCCTGAGTTCCAGAAGCAAGGAATTCATTGCTCTTTAGAGTTCTGCAGTCTCATTAAGCAAAGCTGTTCTTGCTGAAGTTATACATTTTTGCCTTGAAGTCATTATCCAGGGTGTGTAGTTCTCACAAAAGCTTTCATGAAATATCTAGTACACCCAGACTTTTCAAACCACACTTTCTGAAGTTTCATACTCTTGGCTAAACAAAGGCTTTCCCTGCTTTGTCCTCACTCTTAAACAAGCTAATGGTGACCAGAGAGCAGAAGTACATATTTCTATGGATGAATAATTTGTATTCACACTGTTTTTTTCAATAGGAGGAACATATTTCTACATGAGTAAGATTCTACGATTGGTCAAAAATACCGCAGCATCTTTTGCATCACTATTAGTGCAACTATTTCAAATGGTTTTGCTGAAGCTGGGTTATGAATATAAAGGTACCTTTTCAGTTGTCTTCCTTGATCTGCAAACAAAGAGTGTGTGTATTGGGGTTTTTTTTCCTTATGGACTTCATCTTTGGCACTGTGGTGTTCTTCTTTAGTCTTTTGGCTGGCTTCTGTCTTTCTCAGTTTTTATTTCACTTGTGCTACACTTCTCATACCTTTACTGTTTTGAAAGTATCAAGATTCCCTTATACGAGATCCACATGTTGATTTTATTAGTAAGTGGTAATTTTTGAATTGAGAAACTTGTATTGATTTTTAAAAATAGTAGTAGTGTCAAATCTAATTTTTCAATGCCTTTCATTCTTTCTTATCACCCTTAAACCTGCTGTGCACTCAAAGCTCATTTAGATCTGTCTTGCAAAACTCAGACACTTGCTCTCATCACTCTGCACTACTTTAGAGCACATCTTGTTTTCCCTGAAAATATTCATTTCTTCTTTGATGCTTTCTCTTCTATAATACCTGCTCTACAAGTGAAGTTAAATTGCCATAGGCAGAAAGGAACTGATTTTTGCATGTGAGTAGAACTTTGCTCTCCTCCTTCTCTCTGCTCAGAGCCTTATAATTCCTAATGCTTTCTTCTCCTTCTTGTAACAAGTTTGTTAAGATCAGTACAAATATGTAATGAATGGCTGACCTATTTGATAGAATGTTGGGAACAGGGACTTACTTGATGAGGGGTTGTTTGTTGGTTTTTTTTTTACAAACTTTGCTATCTGAAAAGAAGCAGAAGGATTTTTTTAAGCTAAGAGGCCCCCTGATATGTAAAGAAGAAAGAACAGGATTACACTGAGTGGGCTTCTTCTTCAATAATTTTTCAGGTTTTCTTAGAGTAATCTGTCTTTAATAGTGAACCAAGCCAGTTTAGCTAAAATCTGTGTCTATGAAAGGCTTTGAATTTGATAATTAGAATCTATGTGTGCTTTTTGGATGTGTTGCAGCTCACTCAGACTACTGTGGAAGCATGAATGTAAAGGAGTTCTACAGAGAAGATCGTCACCTCGGTGTGAATGAGGAATCAATATGTAAGTGTAGTGATTGATGTATTCTCAGTCCTGGGCTCTGCACAGGTTGTTGATGTATGTAATGGTAGTATCAGACACCCCCTTCCACAACACTGCTGAAGCTACAAAGTAAATGTTTGATTTGCAGCTTAAATGTGGGGGGGGATGGTGATCCCCTGGTATACTGTAGTATTTCCCCAGCAATTTCCTTCCCTGAAGTTTGCTTAGCAGTTTTTGGGTTGATAACTGATGATGTGAGATAGACTTGTCCAAGTTATTTTGTAACAGATCTTGACTTGATCCTGGCTTTATCCCATTAATCAACTGTTACCACAACCAACAGGTGATGACTGTAAAGGGAAGAAACATCTTGAAATGTACACCACAGACCACATGCAGTCCTCATGGGCTAAAAGGGTAGCAAGGACCATTTGGCACACCTTTTCTTCTGCAGGTTGACTTGGACATTTTTGTTTGCTTTTATTTTGCATCGCAATCTCACAGTGTTAATCACACATGTTTTGTGTTTGGGCTTTTTTTCCTTCCTTCATCTATCAAAGTAGGGTAGAAATGTAAAGTGCCTAAACAACTAACTTCCTTAACACCTCTTCTGTCTGAATTCTTGCTCTGATTTTGGCTTTTGTACAAGCTTGGCAGGCTGCTTACCTGTTAGTGAAAACAAGGTGTAGGGTAATGTGCACCTCATATGTTAGAAGGAACAAGTCAGATTAATTGATTGCTCTTTGGCGAGATTTGTATGCTTGCTAGGTTGAAAAACTGACTTTAAATAAAATCAAGGTATGAGATACTGGTATGCAGATTATTTGAATAAAGGGGTTTTAACATTTTATTTTTGTTCTAGTGATAGTGAATTTTTACAGGAATCTTACATAGGGATAGAATCTACCCTGTGAGATGAGCGTTCCCTAGCTTGAATGACAGAGACATCAAGGATCTGTTGAGTGCTCTTTATTCAGCAAAGGAAAATGATTTGAGACACTTCAGTCACCTAAATGATTTGCAAAACATTGGGTTGGTATATCTATGATCCCTCAGATTAAGCCAGCCATATGTGCTAATCTAAGAACGTAGGATTATTTTCTAAACATGTATGGTGTAGTTTGTTCTGTAGAAAGATTGGTCCTAGTCTTGGACATAGTATTTGTTGGCCTCAGCAGGCTTTAAGTTACAGCATTTTATTACAATGCATTGGATGGGGAGGTTGGTGGTAGTTTTGTTCTCTTTAAGAGATACAGAACTGTCCTGCTGAACATCTTTGGGAACACTCAGCTTAATGTAAATTTCCTGCTTGCAACCTTTAAGTGGGAATACTTTTTTATTATTTATCAATATTTCTTACACATCACTGGCATTTTAAATTTTTAATTGTTCTCACTTCTGCACATTAATCCAAATAATGACCTTGATGTATAATTTTGAACAAAAAAGATGCTTTTAAAGTAATAATGTGCTTAAAGCTTGTTTTTGTGGTAGTACTCTTGCTATTCTCTGCTACACTTTGCATGGCATTGTTAGATAAACATGTTACAAAATGTAAACTTTGATTTGGGAAAAGTGATATTCTAACTGCACAGGTGGTGTTCAGTCTGTTTATCTCTGTCCACGAGAATTCAGTTTCTAATCTGTCCTGGTTTTACTTGACTTCATATTTATTAGTGGCTTGCTTTGCTTTAAAGTAGTGAAGAACCAAGTTTGAGATTACTGAAAGGTACGGTTTAAAATTCTGCAGAACATGCGATGGGCAGGGGACTGAGTGTGTTTCACTGCATGTACTGAAGAGAACCTCCAGCTCTTTGTGTGTTCCCACATGGAGTTCATTTGTTATAATCCAGGTTACTTTTTGCTTCACGCGTTGCGAACAGCGGGAGCCACCGGATGGCTTGTGTCGCAGAAGGTGTTGTCCCTACTTTGGCTGGCCATTCTCTCTCCAGGTTACTATTCTAATCTGTGTGTGTGTGCATTGCCTGTTCCTTTTGGCAAATTAGGGGACTGCAGGGGCTTACACTAATTCAGCTGTGCTTATGCTATAGCTTTTGTGTCTTGAAATGCATGTGCTGCTTTATTGACCAAAATATGCTTCATGAGAGGGTGTGTTTCTGTTCACAGGCATTACAAGAGACTAACAGAGAGAATGAGTGTGTGAATATGGGGTGTCAAGAATAATGGGGTGTGTTTGGTTTGGCAGTCAATTGCTATATTGGTATTCCTCTTACCAAAAACTGCTGCTGCTAACCTGTGTGTTTCCTGGAGCATACTGAGTGTGTGAGAAGTTGTGCTCAGACATTAATACTGAATTTCCAGCGAGGTAGCATTGTCATAACAAATGAGCATTTTATCTCTTTGCATGACTGTTGACCTTGTTGAGTAGCTGTTGTTACAATGCTGTCATACTTGTGATATCTAGATGTCAATATGCTTTATGCATTGCCTTATTCATGCATTCCTCCACTCTGCAAAGCATTGCTGGCCACAGCTGCATGTCCCTCTGCTTGGTTTCTTTGAACATCTGCTGCAGTAATTACATTTCACACTCCCACCTTTTGTCTTCTAGGGAGGGCAGCTTCTGGCATGTTCAGGTTGCTTAGAACTGGGTGGTATCAACTTGTTACTCTGATGTCTTTGCTCAAGGTGTTTCTTGTAAGAAGGTGTGTATCCTTTGAAATAATTGTTTTGTGAGCAAGTTATTTACCCAGTAAATCAATTAATTATCGCAAGTGTGTTCTTTCTTGTAAACTGTCCTCTCTTTTCCTAGATGCCTTCCAAAGAACTACAGGTGGTTACTGTTTCTTATCCCACTCCTGCTTCTACTAGGTATGTCAGTTGTTCCCTTATAATACAAATCAGTGTGTGTACTACAGCTGCTCCAAAATAGCATTTTGAGTTGATTTATGAAGAAGATGCAGAGCTGAAAAAGAGCAAGTTTGTTTGTGAACAGGGCAGTAACTGAAGCTTCCAGGGTACTGGAAGTCAGCAAGCTTTCTTTCCCCTTGTCACAAAAGCAATATCCTTGATTTAATTGCATAAAGCTCTTTAGAAAAAGTGGCTGAGTAAGTAAATGCACTGAAGTCCTTTTTTCTTTACCTCCCTTCATAGGAGTAGCAGTGAAAGAGTAGGCTGGGTACTGATTGCTTTATCAGTCTCTATATAGAAGTGTGGTTAAGTTTTTACCAACTCATCCAGAGTCTTTCCTTTGCTCTAGACCCTGCTTTAGTTGCTGAAGATACTGCTGACTTTAGAGTGGTTGGTAGACAGTGTTCCAGCCAGCTGTCAACTGAAATGAAACAGATTGAAGTATTTACCAGAAGTGCTGGGCCACTTCTGAAAAGCAGATTCATGTCTTTGAGTCTTAAAAACTTGCAGCTCTTTTGTGGAGAAGATGAAGCTTCTTGGAAAATTACAGTGGAGATTCAAAGTCCTCTGTATAAGGGTGGACAAGGAAAGAATTTACCCTGTGTAGAAAATGCTGCTACTTCCCACTAAGATATTGCCAAAATAAGTGTAATCTTGTGAAATGCTGTTTTATTTCTACAGAAGCCTAGTTTCTTCCAATTTTTACTAGCTGTTATGCAATGTGATATGTAGTAAGTGTATCATGCAACATATTTTCCATGGAGATAAAGAGGAGCATTTACATCTGCCTTCAGAAAATGTGGCCTGTCTTAATCAGCAAAGGTGACCAAGGTGCCTGGGAAGCAGTAGTGTGAGTTTAGGCTTGTGCCATGATGTGTAGAAGTGCAAGTTGACTGCCTCACAACTGTGTGAGTGGGACTGATGGATGTTCCCCAATATTCTTGAGTGCTTGATTTAAGGATTTTAAAGCTGGCTCATGGTGATATTTGCTTTAACTGGAGTGGTGTCCATTGTGTGGCACCTGCCTTGCAAACTGAAGGTAGCTGTGTCCTTCTAAAGCCCATTTGTAGGTATAAGCAGTTGGAATGGAGAATTCTTTTGAACACTTGTTGCTTTTTGTTTCTGTTCTAGGTCTGTGGTTCTGGGGGCTTAATAGCTTCATTTCATTATTACCTCCATTGAACTGGACAAGAATTGGCAGAATACAGAGAACAGATGATTCTGTTCGTGTTCCTGAACCACAAGATGATTCTTTTCATTCTGTGCAACCTCCAAAGGTAAGGGAGAACAGTCTAGGGAAGAACTTGCATATATTTTTAAGATCTCTTAACTGTCATGTCTTCAGTATTTTGCAATAACTACTTGTTGCACAAGAGTAATGTAGATAAGTTGATTTTTACGTATTAAAGCATTATCTTTATATTTTAGGATGCCATAAATATCTTTGATTTTGGTCGTATAAGTGAGCTGGAAAAGCAAATGGCCTTCGTGTCTGACAGATGCCATGACCAAAACAAAGAATACAACAAAGTGATGAGCCTACTCCAGAATCTTCAAGATCAGGTTGCCACCATGAGTGACAGAAGTGAAACACTGAATTTAATAAAAAATGTCATGAGTCAATATCTTAGAGATATGAAATCGGAGGAAAAGGTAAGATAGTCAGTTATTGATGTTTCCTGATACAGATTGTTCAGTTTTATAAATGCAGATTGTGAGCAATTTGACTGGAGGATTCTTTTTCTGCTCTGGAAATAACCAATAGATTAGGGCCAGCGAGTAGTCCCTGTGGGCATTTGTTCCTCCTTTGTTATTGGTGACAAAGGATTAATTCCAGACAGGTGGCCTAAAGTAGATTCCTACATTGCTGAAAAGCTGCTGGATTTGTCCTGTTTCTATAAAGAAGACTACAGGCAGGGCTGGTGACAAAGCAGGGATTTTGTGGTAAACCTCCCTGCAGCTAAATCAGACTTCTGTATTCTGTATTTATTACAGATTCTGTAATTTCTCACACTACCTGCAGGATAAATCACTTAAACATTCACAGAACGGAATGAAAAGTGCACTTTGCAGAAAATATCAATTATGGTATTTGTACCCCAAAACAAAATACACCCTCTTTTTTTTTTCCCTGTTTTTTAAGACTGAGTTCCTGGCTTTACATAAAGAACATGAGTTGCGCATCCAGACGCTGGAAGAACTTCTTAGAAAACTCTCAGCTGAATCCAAGGTATTGACAGTGAGCTTGGATGACTTGTTCTGATTTTAACCTGTTGATAAAACATACTGACTTTTTAAAATTGCTGTTCCAAGCAGCAGTTTCCTTTACAATGGCTATTAAGTTTCAAAACTTGTTTGTATTTTGGTTCCCCCTTCTTGGAGAGGGTTGCATTCATTCCAGAGTAACCCTCTGTATAACATTACCTTGTTACAGAGGCACAAACATAATTCTGTGCACAGTCCCGTACAGGTGGTGCTAAAATTTGTTTTCATATAACATTTTTTATCCTCCTTCTTTCACTAGAATTTCTTTGTATATGTTAAAACTTAACTTTTGTATTTTTTAGGACATCCAGAAGGAGTTCGACCTAGCCAAATCAAAGTCAGTGAGGTATAAGCACTTTTCAAATACATTTTTCTTTTTCACTCCTGATCCCAACTGACAGTGATCCTTACCTTGTGTCAGTTAACTGACCCTGCAAGGTTGTATTGTCAGCAAGAGCACTTCTGTTGTGTACTGGATTTCAGCTGTGCTGCTGAACATCAGCACAGAACCTGCCCCACCCAGTGTGGGGGCAGCCCTGCAACTGCGTTTTCATTAGAGGAAGCTATTTATATAGGATAGGAGAATGAGGGACTTCTCATCCTCTTATACATGCATTGTTTTCCTTCAGATCACTTAGTGAAACATACAGTGACTGCTTTTGATGGGCTTTGTATTTAAGTTCTTGAACTGTATCAGTTCTAATTTTTGTATCTTGTTTTTTTTGTTTGTTTGCTGAATTGCCATTTGAATTAGAACCAAATGTAAAATGCATTTAGAATGATAGTTGGACACTGATCTATATTGGTCATATATTAGTTGCTATTTGTAACTCAGCACTGCCTCTGCAGTTACTCTGGTTTGAGTGAGGTAGCCTGACACTCACTCTGACCAGTGACAAACTCACACAAAGTTTGATTGGTTTCCCAGAAGCCCTTAAATTCCCCCAAATCTATATATGTTTGAGTTATTAACTTGTCAGCCTGGTGATAATCTGAAGTCATCACAGCTGGATCTTTCCATTACTTCAAAATGCTTTGAATATATTAATTCTAAGTATGCCTTAAGTAACAATATGTTACCAGTGCAAGTTCACTGTGTGTATTGTGGTGAACAATTGAACTAGAAGAACACTTTGTATTAGACAAGTATATTCTCACACTTTTGGAATTTGATGGAATGATTCCAACTACTCTTTCCTAATAATTGACTCCTTGTTTTTGGCAGAGATGATGATCAATACAGTCTACTTATGTCCAAAATTAAAAACCTAGAACTAGAGCTGGCATCTATGAAATCACAGCTGTTATCTGGGGAAAGTGTGAAGACGAGTTGTGAGAAAATGGATGTCATTCATGAAAAAGTAGGTTCAGCAACTTCTCTAACTGTCCCAGTAAAATTTGATACTACTTGGGCTTGTTCACTTTCTTGAAATGAACTTGAGTCAGTAACATGGTGGTAGTATTAATCTTAAAGAATGACAGTGTTGTATGTAGGGTTACCGTGAATTTTTCCATTAGAAAATAACACTTTATAGAGAGGAGTTTATTGCTTGTTTTCTACAATGGCAGGGGTTTGCTTGGAAGCTATGACATAGTAGCAGTTCTCTGCACAGTACTTTGTTTATGTATTTTGCTAACCCATGGAAATACAGAAAAGAAACTCATGTAAAAGCAAATTAGATTGGTTATCTGAAAATTATTTCTAAAAAATCCTGCCTAAGTTCTTTTGAAGCCTTTTAAGAGGTCTGACTGGACTGTAGCCAACAAAATGCAACAATCCTGAGATGGGATTATCAACTTTAATAATGACTTGTGATAAAGGTCTAGCTCTGTGCTTGTTGTATATTTCACATATATATATTTATAAAAACTAATAATTATAATAATTAATGGCTTCTACTAGGTGGATGCCCAGGTGAAGGAATCTGTCAAGCTAATGCTTTTTGGTGATCAACAAGAAGACTTGCCTGAATCACTTCTCCAGTGGCTTAACTCCAATTTTGTGAGCAAAAGTGACCTACAGACTTTGCTGCGGGATCTTGAGTTGCAGATCCTCAAAAATATAACTCTCCATATGTCTGTAACAAACCAAAAAGTAACATCTGAAGTAGTTACAAATGCTGTGACTAATGCAGGGATTTCTGGAATTACAGAAGCGGTGAGTGAATTTTAATGCCTCAATTGTTCAACTAAAACCTGAAAGAGTTTTTTCATGGGCATTTTGTGGAGCTTGACTGTCAACATAAATGTTAATGATTTTAGGAGATGTCAGGAACATCAGCTGAAATGAGGGAAAACTGCAGAAAATGCTTTATCAAGTGTATTCTTGCAGCATTGATTGTTGCCTGTTGTCAACACTTGTGGTTTTTTTAAAGTGTGCTGTCTTGAAAATTGAATTCCCAAAAAACAATTACACTAAAGAAAGTCGGCTCATGGTCTTGGGAAGAAGGAATGCAGATTTAAAAAAAAAAAAAAAAAAAAAAAAAAAAAAAACCCCAAACCATCAGTCAAGATGCAGTATTAACTTGTGTTTTAAGACAGACAGCCATCCATTAAAAGTGGCCTCTGTCTTGCAAAAAGACATCTCAAAAAGATGCTTGCAACTTGACAGGTATGTAAATATCAACTATTTTATTGCTTGATCTTACTAAAATATTTTTCCTACAGAGGCTTTCAAGGACTTGTGATGAAGTGCAGCATCTCAAAAAGATGCTTGCAACTTGACTGGTATGTAAATATCAACTATTTTATTGCTTGATCTTACTAAAATATTTTTCCTTCCATTCTCTTGCATGTGTATGCCTCTAGCAAGCACAGATTATTGTAAATAATGCACTGAAACTCTACTCTCAAGACAAGACTGGGATGGTGGATTTTGCCTTGGAATCTGGAGGTAAATAGTAGAGGAAACACCATTTTACTATTCATGCTTTTACTAGTATTTACTAGAAATATTAAAATGAACAGTAAAGCTTGGTAGAGCATTTTTGTGTGCTGCCTGATTATCAGATCATTGCAATCTGTGATGGTGTTTCCAGGCCTGTACATCAGCCTAGGTGTGCATGGACATGAATAGAATAGTTCTCAATGTGTCTACAACTGGATAAGAAAACAATGAAAAACCTTTAACCTGTTCTTAAAATAACTTTTTACGTGATAGAAACACCACAGAAAATTATTAGATCTTCACAATATCTTTAATCTGTTATTCATTAAGCTTTATATAAATCTCTGCCTTAATTGCTCATTCCTTCTTGAAGACTTCTATTTCTGCTAACCTGATCTGTCTTTTTTGAGGTGGCAGCATTCTGAGTACTCGCTGTTCTGAAACCTATGAGACCAAGACAGCATTAATTAGCCTCTTTGGAATTCCTCTGTGGTACTTCTCTCAGTCTCCCAGAGTGGTGATTCAGGTAATTAAAGGCCAAGTAAACAAATGCAGCAGTGTTATTTTGTGTGGAGTGGTTTGGGTGGCTCTTTGGGTGTATCCCTGCAGTATATTGGGGCACAGGTACTTGGAGCTGTGTTCCCAAGAGTGGGATTGTTCTGGCGGTCCCTGGACACAGCTTAAGTCCTAGTCTAGCAAAACTGAGAGTCACAGGAAGCTTGGGTTGTGCACTGGGCTTGTGCAAAGTGGGAGGGCTGGGAGGGTTCCTGTTAAGAGCTAATCTCAAGGCAGGTCTTCAGAACACCACTGGTAGCTCAGGTGGGTGTGATGCCTTCCTGAAGAGTTCCACCAAGGAGATTATTTCTGCACCTTACTGTTTAAGACTGACCCTAAGAACTCAGAATTCATTGCAACTCTTTATTACAACAAAAATAAACCAGAAAACACTGCAACATTGTTTTTATTGCTCTGTCCCATCTTGTTCCTCCACCGTCCTTCTGTGCAGCCGGATATGTATCCAGGGAACTGCTGGGCTTTCAAAGGATCACAGGGCTATCTTGTGGTGAGACTCTCCATGAAGATCTATCCAACTGCCTTCACGTTGGAACACATACCAAAAACTCTTTCACCAACAGGAAATATCACCAGTGCTCCTAGGAATTTTGCAGTATATGTAAGTCCATCTCTGAATTTAAGTTGATGTTTGTCCACAGAATATTTGTGTTACGTACCTTGGAGAAGCGTAACTTGAGGAAGGGCAGCTAAGATGGTGATAAACTGTTTCACTCATTGCTCTTAAAAACTGCTTTTATTTGTGAGCTTTCAGATTATAAATAAGAAGTGTTGCAATTAATTTTGGGTGAGCTATTTCTTTACTCTTGCTCGATACAGTAGTAAACACTTCTGGAGGGAGTTGATGGTTTTTTATTTGATCTATTTTTTTCATATACTTTGTTTCATCCTCCTTCCCATTCTTCCTCTCTCCACCCACTATCCCTCCCATTTTGTCTCTGCACCTTATCTGTGATGTGCCTTAAATAATTTTTTTAGTTCACTTTACCCAGCACCACAGTTGTGTAGGCAGGATTTCAGAACAGAACAGACCACAGGGTATATCAGAGAGCAGTCATGATATCTGAGAACTTTTTGTCAAGTTTTTCTAAATGCTTAAACAGTCAACTGCAAGCATCTGAATCTTGACTTCAGCCTTGATGTTCTCTCACTGTTTGTCCTGAGCAGTTTATATTGTACACTGTGATAGGGGTTTAGTAATGAAAATTAAAGGATTTGACCATGGGAACACATAAACAGCTCTACTATTTACAGGGCAGGAAACTGGAATACAAAGCTGTGCTAGAACTTTAAATTACATGGGAAACATTCTGATCCTGGCTTTATAGACCTTTAAGTGCTTTCTCTTGATACTCTGTGTAGGCATGCTTCTAGTTTGGGTTTGATTGGAAACCTGATGGAAGCAAAAATCCTTATGGTGCTGTTACAGGGCCTGGATGATGAATATCAGGAAGAAGGCAAACTTCTAGGAGAGTATGTCTATGATCAAGATGGAGAACCACTGCAGATGTTTCCAGTGATGGTAAGTCTGGGCTATAAGATTTAAAGTGTCAGGAGAAAGCTATTTTTATTTTCTACACTTGTGTGCAATGAGCAGTGAAGAGAGAAGCCTTGTTCTCATGTGGGCACTGTAGAAGCTTAAAATAGAAAGTATCTACCTCTGCCTCAAAACTGTGGCCTAAACAGATGAGAGGGGAGGAAGGTTTCTTGCTATATGGACACAAATGGGGGGAAGTTGCTAAACAGGGGAAGAGTCTGTTCCATGCTGCTTCAGACTCACAAATAATTGTAAGGCAAGGGAGGTTCTGTTCAAAGGAACAGAAAATTCCCAAGGCATAGCTTAGGTTCCTGCAAGTACCAACAGTCATTAATAACTAAGAAAGCTTCAGTTGCAGCTGTTTATGCCAGAACCCTGACATGGCCTTGTGTGTTTGCTCTTTCCTTCTCCAGGAGAAAAATGAAGACGCATTCCAAATAGTGGAGCTGAGGATTTTCTCTAACTGGGGCCATGCAGAGTACACCTGCCTTTATCGGTTCAGAGTGCACGGGAAACCTGCCGAGTAATCCACACTACAGCTGGGCTGGCTGCTCTGTACATTTTGTTCCTAATCTGTATATACTGGCAAGCCTCCAACACTGGAATCTGTAAAGGACGAGGATGCAAGATGCACACTGCAGAGCTATTGGTCCTCTGATAAAGGCAGAAGACTGTCAGCAGAAATGTATAAACCCCAATTTTTATTTGCTCTAAGGCTCAGCTTGTAATTGCCAGCTCGCTTCATATTCTGTGTCCATGCTGAGAGAAGTAATGCATGCAAACAGCTCTGGTTCATAAAGCCCAGTTGGCGAACAGGTGACACACGTTTTATTACAAATGAATGTATAGGTTTTTTAAAAAGAATAAACCACACTTTCTGCAACTAGGAATCTGTTCTTTTTTAATCCAGGACTTACCTGCATACTTTTGCTAGCTTGGCACCGTAAGCCAAAAACTGTGGTACATTTTGAACACTGACTGTGGCTAAAGGTGTCCTTCAGTTGACAGTTGGTTTTAACCTTTTTGGTGGATCCAAAAGGGCTTCTTTGCTACATGTTGAATATAATAAATACTACTGTCAGGGAAAGCTAACACAACCAAAACCAGTTGAAACACCAGCGACTGAGAATGCTTTACTGTAATTTGTGACCGTGAATTGCTCTAGAAGTCAGGGATAACTTTAAGTAACTGAAGTTATTTTAAGGGTTTTTACCATGGCAACTTGGCCAGTTTGTTCTTTTTTTAGTGTCAATCCCAAATCGACCTTGATGTGCTGCCTGACTGGCTCGGAGCTGATAAGCCTGCTGAATTGCTCAGTAAACACTGCTGTGCAGCAGTTGCACTACCTTAGTTTGTCCAAAGTGATCTCTTTGGGACAGGATTTCCTTAGACTGGTTGATTGTTTACTCCATAAATATACTGTGAGAATTCAGTGTGTGGAGAACAAGCCTGAAGTAATTCTCGCTGCGTCACATTTACCAGAGGGACTGGAGCTCAGCGCTGCTGTTGCAAACACGGGCATTCCTGATCCTCCCCACAAGCCTTAGTCGGGTACCAGAGGAGTAGAGTTGCTCTTGGAAACAACATTTTCACATAGAACGAGGTGAAACTGCTTATTGCCCCCCCTTAGCCTCGCTGCTTTGAAGATCCTTTTCGGAAAAAGATTCCTGAAATTCACTTGTTTGCAGAATTTTTATCTTGCTGTTCCTAGTGCATTTTGTAGTTACACAGAACTGTTACACATGGACCTGCTGACTGGTTTTCTGAATTGAGTTATGTATGTTGCACAACAGTCCTCGAATGTTTGAAATACAAAAAGTCTCCATGTGAAGAAGAACTGTTTTTCACTCGACCTAGAGACAGAACCTATGGCCTACGCAGAGGAGTAGATGACACATGTACAGGTGTTTTCATATTATAGGTTACATATTTAAAATTAGAATTATCCTGTATAAATTGCAATTAGGTAGCTGGGGGGGGAATATTTTGAATAACACTAACTTATTTTTAAAAAAGCAAGATAGGACTTTGTGCAATGTATTTTTGTAAATGCTTTTCAAAATGTCTGTTATTTGCTGCCTCCAAACTGACAAGATGCTATTGAGATGTTTAAATAAAGAGTTTTAATTTTTGAAAGTGCATGTAATACTTGAAACAAGAAATAAAGCCTCTTTTCTGTTTTTTTTTTTTTTTTAAATAAGTGAGGAAAGATCATGATTTTAAAATTGCCCCGGGGTGGGGGGATTGCACCCAGGCTTTGCAAGGCCAGGGGCACAAAGCTGTAAAGGGCGGGCCCAGGAGCAGCTGCTGGGTGCCACCAGCGGCGGGGACGGGCACAGCACAGCTGCCTTTTCCTTCTCCAGGAGAAAAATGCTCCAGGAGCAAAATCCCGATCATTGCTGGCTCCCTTCCAGCCGCGCGCAGGGAGGGGACTTGCTTTAACTCCTGTGCCCTCAGCCACAGCAGGCTCAGCCAGGCCCACTGCCCGCGCTCCAGCAGCCGTTCTTTGGTTTTTGTTAGTTTTTTAGGTCATCCCGCGGTTTCCGCGCTGTTGTGTCCCCAGGGCCGGCCGTGCCCCGCTCGAGTCCCGGCCTTCCCCTCACGCCGTTCTCGGCCGCCGTTACCGCTCGGGACGCCGCGCGCAGCCGCGCGGGCTGAGCCGCGCGGGCCGCCGTCCGAACGGGCGGAAGCCGGGCAGCGGGACGCCGGAGCTGCGTGCGCATGCGCGTGGCTCCCGCCTCCCCTCCCCGTCCTCCGCGCTGATGGCGGCGGCGATCATGGCGGCGGAGCAGGAAGCTGCGAAAGGCGGCGGCGGCAGGAACCGCGGCGGCGTGCAGCGCGTGGAGGGCAAGCTGCGCGCCAGCGTCGAGAAGGGCGACTACTACGAGGCGCACCAGATGTACCGGACGCTGTTCTTCAGGTAGGGCCGCGCCGGGCCCGCCGCGCCGCCCCTCCCCCGCCCGGCCTTCCAGAGCCTTCCCACGCACTCTCCCCCGCTGCCGCTCGCCGCGCCCACGGCCGCTCCCTATTGGCTGCTGCGGCTGTCCATCTCTGCGTCCTGTTCTCTGATTGGTGCGCAGGGGGGCGGGGTGGGGCGGGCGCGCGGCGCCGGCCCAAGCGGGGCCCGGGCCGGGCCGGGAGCGG